AATAATCTTGTAATCCCAATGCTAAATGAATAATTCCTCATACAATATTTTGGGCTGTTAGGTTTCGTTTGGATAGTACTTGAGACATAATATAATAGGAAAAAGTAGATTAACGGAAATTAAGTATATTGATATAGCAATTAATATTTATAAAGAAAATAAAGAGCATTTCTTTATAGGATAAAAATAGGCCTGAGATTGTTTAATTTCAAATAAAACTTATTCAATCTTATTGAAAAGAATAAGTTAGATTAAAACTTTCCATAATAGAAATGAATGCGTTCTATTTTGCAAATAACAAAATGGCAGTCCTATTTATTAACTTTTTCATTCTTTTAGTCCTACTTAGAGATTTTGTTCATTATGATATCTTTTCAAAATTTTAAAACTAGTTACTGAAATCGCAGTACTTGAAATACAACTTGATTTGAATTCTGTTAGATACTTTTATATTGTAGCTCCATTCAATCCCGGAAATTAAACAAAATTTGGGAGTTGTCATCATGATGTATTAAAACCGGGTTTGGCAATTGTTGTGTATAATGAAAATTGTTCAAAATAGAAATAAATGAGTTTGTATATTTCAAAATAGTACGTCATGTTTTTATTTAGGAAATAGTTGTAGTTACGGTTGTGTTTTAGTAATACCGCTTTTATGATAGTACTTTGGAATTTTTTTACGTTTTTACTACTTAATTTTCCAATCAAACGTGCTTTATCTATTCACATTTTCACTTACACGCGAAATATTTCTCTATCGACCTAAATTAACTTGCTTATGAGGTATGTTTACACAAACTCAAATCGACTGGCCCTTTCACTTTCATGACATCTTCTAATAATTAGATACTTTTCATTTTAAATCTTAAATTTGCATATGCCAATCGGTCCAGCTTGGATCCAGATTCCAGACAGAGCCCAAATTACACATTATACGAACCAGCTTTGCAATAGAGGTCTTGTAATATATGGTCAAAAATTTAGGTTTTGACCATATCCCAAACCCGGTCCGGCTAGTGAGGATCACACACATTCCTACTTTACATTTTCAATCTTAATGATGCAGTTTTTTTTTTGTGAATCCCATATTTTTCCCCCATTTTTTGAAGGAAAAAGTACTCATTAAACGGGGAACTATATATTTTTATGAAACTAAAAAGTAAATGTTGAAAATGAAGTTTTAAAATATGGAGTGAATAAAACATGGTCGTACAAACAGGCTAGGGTACGCGCCACGGACATGGTTTGTTGAAGATTGGACTATTAATGTGTGGGTAGAAAAGGCGTCGTGATCCAACAACGTACACATTATTTTATCCAACATATTGGGTATGTTTGGCAAATGGCTTATCAGCCAGCTTTTAGCTTGTTTGACCCATTTCAGCTGTTTGATTGGTCAAAGAAGCTAATAATGATGTTTGGTAAATGGCTTTTAAAATTAGCTTGTTGAGTTTGAAAAGCTGAAAAAATGGATTGTTGAAGAAGCTAAGGGGAGCAGCTTCTTCATTTGGCTGGTTCAATTTACACTCTATCAGCCATTTTGAAACAACCAATTTTACCAAACAGTTATCTATAACCAGCTAACATAACCAGCCGGTCAAAACAGCTAACACAACCAGCTGTTAGGAAACAGCTGACACAACCAGCTAACAACAACAGCTAACAGCCATTTGCCAAACATACCCATTATAAGGAATGGAATGATAGATTATTGAGAGTGCATGGATTGCTTTATAAAATGAGGGTAGGGTAGGGGCTGAGTCTGCGTTGTTTTGTTTGCTTCCTTTTTACACGTTGGTATTCGGCTCTCAGACTCACGGGCCGAAGTTGGATTGTTTCTTCCCCGTACACGTGAACCCTTGGAAAAAGAGCCTAACAAAGATTTAGGGGGAAAAAAAAATATTTGTAGATGTTATTTGTAGTACAAAAAAAAGAGCCTAACAATTTTTTTTTCTAACAAAGATTTAGGAGATGTTATTTGTAGTACAATATAATCAAATCAAATGATCGAACCAAATGATCGATATTCATTCTCATTTCTCACGCAAATCCCATTCATTGAATTCGATTATGTTGTAAAAGAATTTCATATTGCACTGAAAAATGCAAACATGTGCACTGACATTTTCATAAATACTTATGAATATACGGTGGACACCTCGGCCCAGATCCCTTGTTCCTAGACAATACAATTTAGAATAAAGATAAAGTACATCAGGTTCTATTTCGTAAATATAAAACATTACAACGGACTCTTATCGAGCATGAGCCTCTTACTTCTAATCTAAGCTGAGAACGTACGGAGAGATATAAAGGGAGACTAAGTTATTGAATGCAAGTTTGTTCTCATTATAATCAAATAAATATAAGTATTTATGCTAGATATTAGGAGGTAAGTGGTGGGGGTGATGTGGCGTACCTTGATTAGCAAACCCCAACTCCCCAAGCATAAAATCTCTCATATTCAGGTCATTACATGGGATCATATCCAGGTCATTACATGCGACCCCTCCAATTCTTGGTTTCCCGCCAAAACCTTGATAGAGAATATCTTATGAGAAAGCTGCAAGCGAGAAAGCGTGAGTGTCATCTCATCCCATCCCATCCGGGAAAGGATTGGGGGGACACCTCGATCGGGCCGAATCGCATGTTGTGTGTGAGTCGGACCTATTACCCGAATTGGGCCTATTACCCGAATTGGGCTACAATGATATTTGGGTAACCCGTTGTTGGACCCAATACCCCAAAACAAGGACCACATGAGGACACGGGTTCAAGTCGGGGTGAACTCGATCTAGAACCAGGTCCAACACAATGCTGGATCGGGTCCGTTTTTTGAACCCAGATCGGACCGTGTCCGCTTTTCGAACCCTGTTTGGACCGGGTACCCAACAATGTAAAAGGGATACTCAGTCCTGGGTTGTTGCAATATTTGAGACTGAACCGACAGATCCCAGTCCCGGCCCAGTGGTCCCAACACGGTCATTTCCTCTTAAAAATACTCCCTCCGTCCCGAAAACAACCTCCCGGTTTGACTTTCACACACTTTTAGAAAATAAATTTGACTTTACTGTAGAGTGCACTGTTTTGCACTGTTTAAACACTGTTTAGCACTGTTTAAACACTGTTTGGCACTGTTTATCACTTTTTTGATGTAGATAATTTGCCAAATAAGGAAAGTATTGAAGTGTGAAGTTAATTTTGGGACATCCATTTAAGGAAAGTGGGAAGTTGTTTTTGGGATGGAGGGAGTAGGTGGGAGTGGGGTGTGCATATAGTCGTTGCGAAATGACTATATAGCCATTGGGGGGAGTGGGTTTGAGGCGGGGGTTAGAGGTGGGAGGAGGGTCTAAAATTTCTATAAAAACCTAGAATTTCAATCATTTTTTCACACATCTATTCGACTCTCAAATTCTCAATTTCCATTCTCCTCTCAATAGCTCTCAATCTCATTTTATATCTGCATACTCATAATTATATAATTTATATCTAATATCTATTTATACATTCATATATATAAAATTATAAATATCATAAGCATATCTATTATTTAATTTTATATCTTCATACCCATAATTATATACGTAGTATATTATAAATAATACTATTAAGTATAGTTATATATTACTCCCTCTTTCCCAAATTGTATTGCAAAATTTACTTTTTCGATCAAACAGGCTCATTTTATTCACGGATATCAATTTTAATTAAGATTTTACAACTTTATAGAGATTTTAATGTAGTTATGCTACTCGTATCTAATTAAATTTATATATTAAGTATATATATTAAAGTATTTAATATAATTATAACACACATCTCATAGTAGTACAATTTAGTCATGAACCCGGGCCGGGCCGGTTCCGGTTCCAAGCCGGGCCCGGCCGGGCTTTTTTGGGGGAAGGAAGGCCCGGGTAGCCACCCGGTCCGGGTCCGGGTCCGGGCCGGGTCCGGGTCCCCGGGCCGGGCCTCCGGTTTGGTTTTTATTTTTTATTTTTTATTTTTATTTTTTTTCCTTTCTCACCCCCCTAAAACCCCCAAACCACTCCTAACCATTAATCCCAACCCGTGTGGAAGCCCAAAAAATGAAAAAAAAAAAAAAAGGCCCAGACCCGGACCCGGGCCCGACCCGGCCGGTTCGCCAAATACAAGGCCCGAGCCCAGACCCGCCCCCCCACCGGGCCTAGGCCCGCCCCGAGAACCGGGTCAGGCCGGTCCCGAGCCGGGCGGCCCGAACCGGGTCCATTACTAGTACAATTATATACTCCGTATTATATACAATCAATATTTTCTTATACAAACTTACAAAGTATATATTAAGTATATTCATCACATAATCAATTTATAGGCATATTAGCTACATTATCATGTTCACCCTAATATTGCGACAGATTTTTAAGAAAAACAGAATTACGTGGTTGATAATGAGTTGATAATGTGAGAATATCGTAAGAATGAATTTGAGCCACACAAATGTTACCAAATATGGTATGAGACGATAGGGGGGACACCCGAAAATGAAAAAATGGGACAGTTATAGAGGGCGGAGGGAGTAGTATTTACATTATCATATTAATATTAGTCACAATATCATATTAGTTACATTTTAATATGTCACAATTTAATATTAGTCACATTATCATATTAGTTACATTTTAATATTTGTTACATTTTAATATTTGTTACATTTTAGTCACATTTTTTTGGCAAAAATATTAATCACATATTACCTACATTTTAATAATAATCCCTATTAATATGTGTTACATTTTAAATTAGTCACATTATCATATTAGTTGCATTTTCATATTAGTCACATTTTAATATTATCATATTATCAATGTTAGTCACTAATACATTTTAATATTAGTTACATTTTAGCATGTTGGACGGTAGAAATCTGTTGATTTAGGTCATTTCCAACGCCATCGTAAAAAAGAGTTTTTGCAATCCCATCTTTTTTTCGTGGTTCTATGGTGAACGCCACATTGAGGCAACATCTTCGTCACAAATCCGTGATAATTGGGACTTGGGAGGTTAATTATGACCCTAGATATGTCATGTCCAACGAACAAATGGTACAACTCTTGTCGCAACACCAAAGGCGGATTATAAATAAAGAAACCATTCCCAAGATTTACAAAGAGTTGTAGGACGATGACGCCTAGGAGGAAGAAAGCAGGGATATTGAATCTGGCTTACTAGTGTTCTGGAAGCTGATACACTAACCCGTACAAAGCCCGATTAGTGAGGCCCTTTTCGGCCCATTTGACCCATTAGGGTAAGATTGAACCTTCTCCTTTTCCTATAAATAGGTTTCCCTCCATATGTATGAATGCCCCCTTCCTGTACCTCAGCAAACTTGAAGCTCCATTAATGGCTTCAAAGCTCAATTCTTGTACAATGTAAATATGGTGAGGAGAATATTAATTAAAAAGGAGTATCGTGTGCATTAGTCCGAAAAGCCCCTTGATTTTCACTCTTTCAGATTTTCACGTTAAAATTAAATATTCATAAAATTTATTTATACTTTTACACGAAATTTGTGTTGAATTAGTTTCAAGAGACATGAATCGCCTAGTGTTTTTAGATGACACGAAATTTAGTGTTATTAATTCTATAAGAACATCAACAAGAAACAACTGAAGTGCACTGACTATATTTCACAATTCCCATGAACTTTTAAAAATGAGAAAATCTTACATGGATATACATGACAGTCAAAAATGGACTCTTGATGGAATGCACATCATCTTGATATCTCCCTGGAATGGGGTCTTCAATGGGTGCACCTTGATCTCATAAAGTTTTGGCCATAGTTTACCAGTCACTGTATGCAGAGTTTCCTTACATTATAAGTTGTATGTATACAATGACACAAGTTCGAATCATTGGCATACTCCACCATTGGAACTTTTTTTTAATCCTAAATAACAATATCTCATCTACATATTGCATTCAAACAGGAAATTTACATAATTTGATAATGCGTAGGAAATAGAAACAATCGAACAAATATAATTTGTGAAGTTATCATTGATGTGAATCTAGGCCCACTGTAGATAGAGGGCCAAATTAGTCACTGTCCTACCTAAATTTGACACTAAAATCTACATGGAAAATTTTACCATACAAATTCAGGGAAATGCCAAGGAATGCTCCTGTAGCTATAAATTTTACCATACAAGTCCAGGGACGAGGACTGTATGCACCCTTACCTTTAAGGGCTATTGAAGACTAAAGAATAATTCATGTGTTGGGATGTAAAACAAATGCATAGAGACATGTCAAAAATGTAGTTTCAAATTATTCTCAATTCAAAACTTTCTTATTGACCTCAGAGCATCTCTAATTAATTGCCCTTATGGCTTGACTAGCCACACGAGCATTTCAATCAAAATTAAAATGTATTCCAATAGTTAGCTAGAACTACTTCCTCTTCATTTATTATTAATAAGGTTATACGAAGTAATTAATAATTCTCTTTGCTCAAGCTAGTAGCTCATTTTGGCCAATTAGTTTTCTAAAGCAAAAAGAAAAACAATGCTCCAATGGTAAGCTATTAGCTTTAAAAGTGCAAGCAATCCCTCTAAATGAAACGTTGAAGGACTTGGAGATACACTAGCGACATTGTTAACAAGACTCATCCTAAATTCAAATTTTGGGTCTCTCAAGCTTTGCAGAGGACACAAATGAAACAGAATGGGATATCTGAAAAGGAACGCGCATTGAAATGTCTAAAAAATTGAAGACATGAAAATAAACAAATAGCAAAACTGAATGTACATATTTAATAATAATACAGAGTATATATAATTGCTAGTTCATGTAAAATGCACACATTTTAAAACTGAAATTATTTTGGAGCTTTTAATAAACCATTCTCCAAATATGCATTTTAAGAAGTTAACATAATTCCATACGCTCCTTTATTTATAAAAAAACAGACCTGAAGTGTTTTCTATTTATGGAAATATCATCACTTTATGAAAACTGTCCAGAGGACTCTTGTTTCATATACACTATGCATCTTCCTAGACTTTCCAATTGTCATGCACCAAAGATGTGGATCAAGCATACTACAACTGTACTGTTTTATGTGAGCAACAGAAAATGGAGCTTACCAAAAATTCGTCTTCTATCTGCATCCCACGCTATGCCATTCAATACATCAATATTCTACAAGGGGGGATCAAAAATGGATTCAATTTTCTAAGATGTCAAACAATATCACCAAGTAAAAGGGTGGGCTGAGGAAAAAATGCTTACTGTGTGCCCACTTGCTAATAATCCTTCTCTGTGAAACATTTAAGCAAAGCTCAGTTCATTTTATAATAAGCTTCGAAGAGATTGAGTACCAATAGCATTAAATAACATAAAGTTATGAAAAAAAGAATAAAAAATAACAAATGAACCTTAAATTGGGAAGGAGAATCCATCCCAGCACCATGCCATCTTTTGGGGAGATTCTAGCAACACAATCAGTCTGTAAAGGAAAGTTGAACATTGCAAGTGATTCAGCAAATGCGTGGATAAAAGGAGTCTAGTGCGGCAGTGCCAGACACTTGGTGCACTATTGTACCACACAACTCACGGGACACTCCATGCATGGAGCAAATCAGAACTAAAAAAATCCCTGCCACGCACACAATGCCATATGTGTTGTATGGTACCATAACAGTAAGGGATGGCAGCCTGCATGCGGTAGAGTGAAAAAACAATTTAAATACTTTTTTTGTCCCCAATTTTTTTATAAATTTAAATTTCCAATGCTGTTAAAGGACTTCATTTAAGGGCAGATGAAAAAGAAAAGTGTGAGCATTATATATGAAGGAAGCGGGTAATAGGAAATATGAGAGACAGAAGGTTTGTAGTTTTGTACCATCCACACATTAGCCCAAACTTCACCATTTACATACTCAAGCTCATTGATATATGGCACTTTGTGTCCTTGATATTCAACTGTATGTTTTCTTATCACTGCGTTTTTTTCAGAAAACAAAATTATCAGTCCAAGGGCAAGACAATAACAACCAGGTTGGCAGGTTTAATCCCAAAATCACATATTTTCCCTTGTTAGTTTGTTTAGAGGTGATCCGAAGCTCTTCTAGGTTTAATTATGATTTCACCTATGTTTTCAGAGAACCTGAGTTTACTTCAAAACCTCCAAGGACTCAGTTTTGGAGAACCTCCATGTTGGAGGATTCCGAAGGTTAGGTTCTCATTATATATGATTTTAACAAGTACTCCTAGGCTAACATATATCCAATGATCCAAAACAATCTTTCATTGCCAGAGCCTTGGTTAATCTTATAATTATCCAAACAATATATATAGAGAGAGAGAAATTTTGGTTCACGTGAGAAATGCTTCTAATGTGACTATGTGAGAAATGAGAATGAATCTCAACCGTTTTGGATTTACGATGTTGCACTAAAACAAGATATATGTTGCACTAAGATTGAAATTATTCGATGTTGCACTAAAACAGTTTCGTATTGCACTATGATTCAACGATGTTGCACTAAATCAGTTTCATGTTGAATCAGAGAGGAAAAAGCCACCGGACACAGTTGCATATTTCAGTGCAACATAAACCTATTTTACTGCAATATAGTCGAATCCAACAACCAGGGTTTCAAATAGCGGACCGCAACAACTGATGCGGCCGCAATATTGCAGTCACGGGCGGCGGCGCAACAGAATCGGGCCGCAATAGCAGTGTGTATTTGAATCACGAAAAAGACCTACAACATAACGAGACAAAACAATAACGGCGCCGCTACCGACCGCAACGACACCGCATCAGCCTGCATCACGCTGCTACCAGCAGCAACGACCGCATTCCTAGTTTGTGCAAATTTGAAAATATTTCACGTCGCAATGGCCGCAATACGCATCTCAGTGGCTGCATTAGCCGAATCCGCAATTTTAAACTCTGCCAACAGCTGAGATTCATTCTCATTTCTCACCTAAAGATGTGTTCACTTAGGTTTCATCTTATTCAACATCACCCTATATATATATAGATGTGTTCACTTAGGTTTCACGCAATCTTTAATAAACCTAAGTTCACCAGATTTAGTTCAAATCATTTTATCCAAACAGACCATTAGGGACTTTCAAACAATGGAAGTTTGGAACCTTTCATAGTATGCGGATCAATTTGATACAATGTTGAAGTTCCATCACTTCCGTATAAAACTTCTCCATCAGTAGCCAATCCCCAACCATCTTGCATTTCATGAGTAAACCCCTCAGACTGCAGAGAATAAATGTCTCCAAATGCTTCATGTTATGTATAAAAATCACTTACGAAAATAGAATGAGCTTACGAGGTGTTTGATAAGGAAAATATCCCAATGGAAGAAATATAATTCCTTTTCCCCAATATTACAATGGAAGAAATATTCAATAGGTTGGACTTTGGAGGGCACTCCACCTAGGAATTGAAATTTTAAAGTAATTGTTTTTCCTGGTTTTGAGGAAGTCTCTATTCCTATGCATCCTCTGTAATTTGTTTTCCTTACCTCTTGGGAAGAAAAAGTGAGTTGCTAGGATTAAAGCGTACCTTCTCTTATTTGTAGTATTCTTTCCAAATTATACAAGGACAATTTAGTCTTTGTACACATAATTGTCATATTATATTAAAGTAAACCAAATGATAGAATACATTTTCCTTGTAAAGTTATTCTTTGTATGTTCTTCTCCTTAAATTTCATTCCTCCTATATTCATTTCCACATATCAAACGAGCCACTGATGTTCTAAAACATCTGAGACAAGCATATAAAGTGAGCAAAAAATGAACATACTTTGCTTATATTGTGTCGGTCATATATATAACCAGTATTGTGCAGCCAAGTTACTTGAAACAACCTACAAAAAATAAAAGAAATCACAGTATCAAAATTGCACCGAGCTACCAACATTTTATTTTAAAAGTATGCAGAGTTTAAAGATACATAACAAGAAGATGGAAGAGGTTCACAGTTCAATTCCAAATAAGGAAGAAATCAATGTTCCACCACTCGGTTTTAAAACTGATGAATATATTTATCCAAGTCTAACCGACCACTTTCTAGGCTTCGGGCATCACAGGCCAGGCGAGCTCGGGCCTCAGCTCGGTACCTCAGAGAAGACCGAACCTAGCGTTCGACTGGATTGCTTCAACAGTCAACATGGAGTCATTAATACGCAACAGGCTAATACTTATAGTCGTGTTTAATTCATAATATTACATAAAAATTATCCCATTAAATTGTAATAATCAGCGTACTTATATCTCAATATTTTCTGTATTTTTTTGGCTTACCCCCTCACCTATAGGAGGGGCGTCCCCCTCCACTTGAAGGAAGGCCTCTCTACGACAGAACTCTCTTATTACTCTCTTATGCAATGAAATACATTAATAAAAAGAAACTATTTTTCAAAATCTTATTCCTCTTGATTGTTCATTTATTTTGGTCATCCCTTAAAATCCAACAAAAACATCAATAGCTAAGAGGCACAAATTATTTAATTCAAAAGTAAATAATAGTGAATCTCGATAAGTAGTCTCTATACTGATTGACTACCACACATGTAGATGGAAGCTTGAAACCACTGATAAAGCATGTAGGTCAACAAGTTAACTGCTATGAAATATTATACTCCGTATCTCAAATTTAAAAGGTCTATATTAATAAAAAGGCGCTACTTTAGCCGCAGAAATTCTCGACAAGCAGAAAAGGAATGCAAATTTTAAAAAAGACTTCTTTTTTCTTGGCAGACCTGTCATCAAGTAGTGTTAAGCCCTCCCCAAAATCAGAATGCTGCATTTCACGTATAGCTTCTACCTGTGACCAAACACTGCTTGAGATACAAAGTAGCTAAGAGATTACTACACCCTAGGGTCCGCTTTGGAACCCACAAAGTTCTAGGGGAAGATAATTGAGGGAGAGAAATATGAGGGAAATTGCGAATGCAATGAAATAAAGCGGATAATGGTTCAAACTCAATAATTTTTTTTTTACTTTATCAAACTCATTTTTTTGGAGCCAAAGATTCACTTTTTTGTCTTGGGAATATGATGGAATAAAGCAAAATGGATCACTAAACTGGTTGCACTTCTTTGTTATAAAGAATCAGTTAGTTCATGAAAATTTCGACGCGATTTTCACCATGGGTCATCTGTAAACAGTCTCTCTATGCTAAACAGGGTAAGGCTGCGTACATCCGACCCCCTCTTACCCCACTGTAGGTGGGAGTCTTTGTGGCAATGGGGTAATGATGATGATGATGTCAAACTCATTTGATATGATTCTACTATATAAAGTCCACTTAATATAAATATATGTAACACTTGATTTTTTAAATGAATTGTGATTTCTATTTAAAACCATAAATAAAAAAAATATTTTCCTTGGGATATTTTTTCCTTTCTCTACCATGTCCCAAACTCCCAATCACAGTCTTAATAATTTACTATTTTATCCTCTAATACAATCACTTGTTTACAATAACTAGCACTAAAATGAAAAACCGAAGTCACCATGATAACAGGGTGGTTTCAGTTCACTGAAAATCACTAATGAAGCATTTGCATAATATACCTCACCGGTCGAAAGAGAGACTCTCCTAAGTGATGACTGCAGTTAAGAATAACAGAAAAGTCAGTTTCTGGAACTCGAGCATCATGTTCACGAACTCCATGTTTTGAAGTCAAAAGGCAAATTCAAACTCACATGTCCATTAAGTCCAGTTGATTCAAATAAGGTATCATTTTCAGCATATACAAGGCCCTGACACAGAATTAACATCACATTAGATGCAAAAAGACGATTTTAAGACATGTAATGTCCTTATAAACATAAAGACAATGAATTTACATGACTCATAATATTCTCATGAGCACACAGAGATACTGGGATTTACAAAATAACAATCATGAATCATATTAGGCACAAAAAATCATTACAGAAGTTATTAAATGTGTTATCTTTTCTATTGAGCTCAGTTAAATGCTTATAAATGATGATTCCATGGAAGTTGATTTTGCAATATCAATCTTGCAATGACACATGAGTTCAGACTCACTTTGGTATTGATGAGAAGGAGGAACAATATCATTTTTTTATCCAAAAGTTTGTTAGGTGAAATAAAAAAGTTGCTGCAGCTTGTAAGCCTCTTTTATAAAAACAACTAAAAATGGCAACATTCAAAAGATGCCGTGATCACAACACCCAGATTTTGACAATTAGTAGCTCCGGAGTATTTACCATTAAGCAGAAAAAATACATAGGAGCTTTTTCGCAGATATTCATAATTAGCTGTATTTTCGCAGCTAAAATTATCACTCCTTAGCTTATTTGCAGCACGTCTCAACACATCTTGTTCACAATTACTTTTCATTAGATTGTTGCCATTGATTCCAATTTGAAATAAATTCATGTGATGAGAAAACATATGCACGAATCGTTTAAAAAATACAAAATTGAAATGAGCCTGAAATCCAACCTGAGTAAATGCGTTGGGATCATGAGGGAACTCATTGATGACTTCGCCGGTGTACAACTGATTGGGTGATGAAAGATCAGACGGTCCAAATACACGTTCTTTGCTGGACGAAGTGCTTAACAGAGCTATCAAACATATTGCGAGAATTACCATAACAGTTAGGGAAGTTTTCCTGTAATTGAGATGAAAAATTGAGGCGGAAGAAGTCATCATCGATGCTTGTTGAGTCTTCGGCGGTGATTTCTTGTGAGACTTCTTTCTCCCCATTGCGCCGGCCGGAATTAGCCGGAGAAGTACATCTTGTTTGGCGCCAATGAGTTGACCGCGCGCTGCGAAGAGTGACGGTGGTCGGTGGGTTATTGACAATTCAAGTTTAAGGGTTTGGATATCGGTCCAATCAGGTCTTGATCGCTTGAGCCTTGTGGAAGCCGAATTGTCATTGGCTCAACGGTTCAAGATAAAATTCACAGGCAACCAATGCCAATCGAGTAATCTACTTCTATGTACTTCCCAATTTCCCATTCGGTATAATGTCCATGTACGAATTAATTTTATGAGGTTTCGGTCAATTTTTCATCAAACGTCTAAATTTTTCTTTCGCGCGCTACATTGTGTAATAAATAGAAAACGTAAGGTTGAAGTTACTTTTCTAGCTGTAATGGCTGAGGTTACATATAATTATTTCTTTATTTTATTAATAAAATAGATTCTAAAAATATTTTTTCTTAAATCAGCAAAATCAGTCGATGCAGCCACTTCAACTAGAAATTCATAAAATTCAGCACGATTAGCCAAATCAGCCGATTTTCGTGCTACCAAACGGGCTCTATATCAGTATATGGCAAATCGACCACGGAGGTTAGTAGTGTTTGACTCGGTCCGGGCCTAAGCCCGGGCAGGCCGCCGGTTTCGAATAGTTGGGCCCCGGGACCGGACCGGGTAGCTACCGGGTCCAGGCCGGGCCTCGGTTTTGTAATTTTTTTTTGCTTTCCTAAGTATCCCTGACCCCCCCCAAACCCCTCCTAAACATCAAGCCCACCCCGGGTGGAACCAAAAAAAATAAAAAATAAAAATAAAAATAAATCAATTTGGCCCGGACCGGGTCCGGGCCCGACCGGGCCGGGTCTCATTTCGAAGGAACCGTGCCCGAAATCGTCTCCCCCTCGGGCCGGGTCAAAGCCCGGTACCCGGACAGGTGAACCGGGCTGGTCCCGGGCCCGCACAGTAACGGACCGGACCGGTTCACGGGCCGGGTGGCCCGACCCGAGTCCACCACTAGAGTTACCATTGTCGTTAAGCCGGACTATGTCTTATGTCGATTCACGTCTGGGATCAATAAATACTACAGAGTTTTGAGCATTTAGGATGTTTTCTTTTGGACTGTTTTTTGTCCCAGACCAGACTTAAATAGACCAGACCAGACCAGACTTCCGTAGTTATGAAATACACAGAGACCAGACGTTTACCAGACCAGACCAAACCAGACCAGACTTAAACAAACCAGGCCAGACCACCAAATTTCAGTCCAAAAGAAAACATCCTTAAACCTTCCTTTACTTTGATGCTCATTATGTTATACTCCGTATTTATTAATATTATACCTTTTTTATACGTAGTACATAGTAGTATTTTTGACAAAAAACATATTCATATCATTTTCATATTATCAATATTTATGTATATAAATATATAACCGGTCAAAGTTGGGTACCGTTGACTTAAAAACTCAAATTTGACTATATAAAAAGAGACAAAGGGGATATGTGACATATATATGAAATGAATAACTCTATAGATCTCATTTAAAGTGCATAGTACTATTTATTATCTCAGCTATATGTGAAATATTTTATTCAAGTACTTCCTCTGTCCCTAAAAGATTGTCCTACTTTGACTTCACATATATTAAAGAAATAAATTTGATTTTACACTGTAGCGACACTATTAAACACTGTATAAACACTGTTTGACACTATTTTGCACTGTTTGACATTGTTTAAAATAGATTTGTTTGACAAATAAGAAAATTAAAAAAGAAGGACATTCATTTAGGGACTTCCATTTTGGGAAAGTAAGACATTCATTCCGGCGGGATGAAGGGGGTATTATTAAAAAGCGACCTACCACTCTTATTAGATCGTGTATGTGGCAGCGTGGCAAGGACGAACTGCCTCAGTTCACCTATTCATGAATCTATATATGCAATCATCCTTTTGGCGCCTATGAGCCTATCCTAACGGGCCATGTACGTAGTATACACTCTTTCTAAGGGTTTGTTTGATACCACTTGTGCTTAAATAAAAGTACTTTTTGGGAAAAAGTAATTAGTAGTAAAAGTTGGTGGTGTTTGGTAGAATAAATGCTTTTTGTGTAATAGAAAGGGTGACAACTCCGGTATCTTTTTAAAAAATGGGGTACCGTACTTACCGTTCATTTGATTGGACCACATCGCTTTATCATTTTTAATTTAGATTTTAATAATTCAACTGCTACATTCTCATTGGTTCATGTGGACAAAGGTATGGTACCTCATAGATACCATATAATCTACCAATAGTGTTTGGTAAATTAAGTGTTTTTTTCTTTAAAAAAACCCAAAAACACTTATCAACAGCAAAACAGAACCTAACATACTCATTATCATTCATACGGAGTATAATAATGCGCTCTGGGGCTTCTGGGCATGTATATATCCTAATCGCTCTATAGATTCGTCTTTAATTTGATTGTTTTCATTTGTTGATAATTCACACTATAATATTATAGCTAGGTGGATGGTTCATTATCATCATCATTGTATTCTCTAAATTTATGTTTCTCATTTTTCAACACGACGCATCATGAGATAGACACTATGACACCCCACTTTTTAGAGAAATTATCCTAAATAGGACTAAAAGTATTTCTATATTCCAAAAATATGATTGTCAGTTTTTATTCCCAAAATAAGACTAATTATTGTCATGTTTTGACAGTATCAGGCTTTAAAGTTGACAATATTTTCCAAACTTGACAGTAATTACTCCTATTTTGGAAATAAAAACATGACAGTCCTATTTTGTAATTTTCAAACTTACTTAGTCCTATTTTGGTAACTTTCCCCACTTTTTAATTGCAAATGGATATCCCTTCAAAGACTAAGAATTTCACACATACACAAAATCGATTGCCTAAGGTGAAAATATCCTTGTACCGTTTTATTTTATAGCAAAGTAGAGCCAAATGGTTGATTATGTACAAAAACATTTGAGCAATATGTAAAAATTATCTGATTTATGTGAAAATAAGAGACAAATAACTTTAACCACATACGTAGTTGAGGATTCATGTAATATGAGGATTCATTGTTCTAAAAATCGGCCTAGGCGGACCGATTAATCGGCCTAGGCGGCCTAGTCGGTCCTAACTGTAGAGGCCGAATTGGCCTAGTCGGCCAAAAAATCGGTCTAGTCGGCCGCCTAGGCGCTAGGCGCCTCTCAACCGCCCGACTAGCTCCTAGCGAGTTTTAGAACAATGAATATGACTAAACATTTTTTATTCTTAATTTAATGGTGTCTTGCATTTATGATATGTATTTTGATTCTACTTTCTCTCTCTTGAATTTAGTTATGTACTGTATATATTAAGAATTTATGAATATTTGAGTCACATGTAGATAGTATTTGTAAGTTTAAATGAAAACAATAGAGTTTAAGGGGTTAAATAAGGAAAGGTGAAAAAGTTTGTTAGAGCATCCACATTCATGCTCCTCAAATAAACAGATTTTTTATGAGTCACTAGTGCCACATCATTGCCACATAAAAGATCTTAGATAATCTCAAAATATATCAACTTTCTCTCAACCATGCTCTCTATTTACTTGGATTTTTTTAGGAGATATACATTGAAAGTGTAACTCTTCTTAAATGCACTCTCACACGTTTAATTCACCCTCACACATACACACTAATTACCTCACACATACACACTAATTACCTCACGTTTATAATTAAAAAATAGGAAAAGGATAATGCAAATTCATAAAAAAAATGAGTATATATTACGTATGTTATAACAAACCACAAATTTATAAACAAAAAATTTTCCTTTTAAATCTTTTATAAAAAAACAACCGAAAATTATCATATCTTTAATTGTTTCTCAATAAAATTTGAAATGTAAAATTAAAAGGTTTGCATGATTCCATTTTAAAAGAAAGTTTGTATGGCATTTGGTATGTCGATTGTATTTTTAGAAATGTGGATTGATTGTTTTTCCCTAATGCACTAAGTAGTAATGCACATTTAATCATGGAGCACAATTCTCGAAACTTGATATAATGAAAGGTGGTAGAAATGTAGAATAATCTCACAATAATCTAGCTTTAAAATTTGATACCAGATTATTTTTCTAAATAATCACTCCTAATAATCACTCTTTCTCAACCATAATCACAAAAAAGATCATCCACATCATCAAGTTGATCTCCAAATAATCCCAACAATGAGGATGCCCTTAGACGAGAGAGGACTAAAAATGTGTAAAACTTGTTTGTGTAACCGTATCATTGTCATTATATTATACAAAGCATCTGATAAAGATTCAACAAGGTAAATATATATACGGAGTACGTAATTGAAGTTCTTCATATTAGTTACTAGCAATAGTTGTAGGACTGGAATAGTTCTAATAGGGTTAGAAACTTGGAACTAAACGTCTATAGTGAAAAATGACTAAATTGGAAAAGGCATAAATTCAAGAAGTGATGAATTGAAGGCAGATAAATGAAATAATTACATGACTAAGAGGTGTATTGAATATGGATTACGAAAGACTTTTTTTAATCTATGGACTTTTAAAAACGTCTATGGATTTTTAAATCCACGGATTTTTTTATGAATAAATTCTATGGAATTTTAAATCCATGGACAACTTTATAGACTTTTAAAAAGTCCATAGACTCCGGACCGTCACTGCCAGTCGTCAGAATTTTCACCTACACCGCCGCTACTGATTTCCCTGTCCGCCTTCGTCACTGGAGTTCGCTGCCATCATCATCGGATTGATCCGGCACCAACAAAATGACTTTGGTTATGCAAGGGAAATAGGGGCAATAAATTATACGGAGTATAAACTAATTAGATTAGGGGTAGAAATGTAATATTTAGTCCTGTTTAAGGGAAATCAAACATATGATTATACTTTGGAAAAACGCTATGTTTTAGTCCTACCGTGAGTAATTTCCTATGTGTAATATAATAAAAACATCAATTAAATAAATAAATGTAATTCATCCAGCAACGCAGTATTCTACAAGAATAAATGAAGTATAAGAATCCAAATTTATTTTTATTAAAAAAGAAACTCAAATTTTCGAGAACGTTCAACAATGTTGATCTATTTATGATCAATTGTTATACTCAGTGAGTAAGAACATTGATCATTATACAAGCGTTACACTCATTGCTACATGTGGTACAAAGCTAACATAGGTGCAATCGAACTTTTCTTCTTAATAATTGTTTTCTTTTCAATTTTAGCTTGTTAAATTTTGTATACTTATTTACGGTCAATTATTTAGTAACTTCAAATTACATTTTGATGTGTTAGCGGTTTAACGATGAAACACATTAACAATTGTTTTTTTCTAATGATTAACTGATAATGTATCAGAATTGTACCGATGTAATACAATCGATTCTTATATATGTTCTTCTAAGAACTTCTAGAACCGAATCTATATGTGATTAACGGGTCTTCAAATGCTTCTTAATTTTCTTTAATTTCAAGAGCTGAACCAAACTCAAGCCTACATTTTTCTCTATATGACGACATATAAAATATCACTTTTTATTTTTTTTAACAAAGTAAAAAGATAAGATTATCTTGTGCATCATTATTAATGCAGAATCTTCTTGTTCAACTTTATTTATCGTAAAATGATAGAAAAAAATCAAAATTTAATGTTCATATCTTACATACTAAGACCATTATGGTACCCACCTCCCGTCCCGCCAGGTACTAGTCAAGGACTTGTTGGCCGGTTTATGATTCTGAGTAAATAAATAGCCAAATCTGCAATCAGATATATACGTTCTTGTGACGAGTAGAAGGCAACTAGAAAATTTCACAGAAATCTTTGGTGAGGAGAAGAGACAATTCGAGAGAATTAATGCACTAAGAATGACTTAAAAGTCTACGAGATTTCGTGATTTTAGAAGTCAATAAGAATGGACGGAAATTTGAATACGCTTTGACTTTTAAAAGTCTACATTCAATACACCTAGACTTTTGTAGATTTTTAAAAGTCCATATTGCATACACATAAACTTTTAAAATTCATGGAATTTTAAAGTTTTGACACTAATTCCTAATACAATACACCCTCTTAAATCAAAACAAGACAAATTGAAATATAACCTTTTATACGAAATAATGAGTATATTAGTAATTTGTACTTGTGTTTATTTTAATCATGTTCAATTTTACATTTGAGTGATTATTGAATTACACTTCGAATAATTTTAATAACATTTTTACCATATTTTTTATATAGCAAACTAAAAACCTCTAGATAAATTGCTCAGTTTATATTAGTCCTAACCTTTTGGAATTGGGAAACTGAGTCGTGCTCTCTACACAACCACGTTTCCAAAACCCAAACACACCCATTTATAGAGTATAAGATTAATCAACTAATAAGCTCTATAAATATCTCATTCAAATCCAATCAAACCAAGAAAAACCTTCACAGGAAATACAGCCGCCGGGCGCCGCCCCTGGCAACTCGAAGATGAACGATTTGTCTAATTACATAGTCGTGGAAGCGGTTCACATAAACATGCTGAATTCGGCGGCCGGTAACATTCAACCTCCGCCGCCGCACCACGACGGTCAACGTCGTTTCCCTCTCTTGTTGACTGTTCTATCCGTCAACCCCTCGCTTTGTCCTAAATTGTCTTTTCGCAACATTTTACGGTACAAAACAGAGCACAAGTTCTCACTGGATCGGAGCGACTGCGAAATAGCTACCATAAACAGGTTGGTCGATCTCATGAACGTACCTTATAATCTGAATGGAATACCTCTCTTTTGGAAGCCGGTCGTCGGAAACAATCTCGGGTCCGAGTGGCCCGTCGTTGACTGGGACGAAATGGTCGTTCTTATCCGCGAGTTTCTTGAGAATGCGGCGGACAGTGAGGATTTCGGCGGCGGACATCACACATCCCTACAGATTTCGAGGTGCGAGAAACTGTCGGAGGATGAGATGAAGGCGATGGCTGAACGGAGGAGACGGGAAGCGGCTACCGGGGAGTGGACCGAGCGGGTTTGGCGGCAACCGCAGAGGATGATGGAGTTTCGGATGTCGGTACTTCTGGGGAAGGTTATCGAGAGGGTGACGGTGGCGGGCGGTGGAGATGACGGTGGGGCAGAGAATTGCGGTATCTGTTTGATGGATTTGGGCGTTGGGTCGGTGGTTGCCCGGTTGCCCTGCTCCCATTGCTCCCATGAGTGCTGTATTCTCAGGTGGTTGCTGCAAAATAAGTCATGCCCGTTTTGTCGATTCCAAATTCAAATCCCCGCCATTGATCCCGGCGAGCGTTGCCCACTCCATCGAGGCTAGACCTGTCCGCAGATTGAGGTTAAACCGGAATTGGAACCGGAACCGCCTTTTTTTTAACCGGGACCGAAACCGTATGGTAAATCCGGTTCGGAATAGGAGGTTACCTATTCGCGTTTGGTTTTAACAAAATCGAACGGAAGTGTTGATTTTAGAATCAGCACTATGCGGTTCCGATTCCGAATCTCTAGAATTTGGAACCGCGAACAAGCGGTTTGGTTCAACTTCCGGTTTGGTTCCAAACCAGGGACGCCTCTAATACCAGCTGGAGATTGCATATTTAACACAATGGTGTCGTTTGATTTTCGGCGGACTGCACCATACCCGCTGCATTTTGTAGCGCTTTAACCCATAAAATAATCAGCAGTTTCATCGACCCACTACTATCCAAACGAGGCCGCTAATATCAATACAAATATTATGCATGTTTTGGTACTCAATTGTTGGGAAAGAAACAAAATGTTCCTTATTAATTTTTTTAAAAGTAACGATAGTTATGAATCTTAATTTGTTTTTGCCTCTTTTGTGTATACCATGAAGTGCATAGTATATGCCATTAATGTTTTTAAAACGGATAGTTCTATATATATGTGTACTACAGTCTACAGAGCATATAAATAACCAATAATTACTTCATAACCCAGCAATTTAAACATAGTACAAAAATAATAGGGAGTACTTCGCTTGAAACAACATGTTAACATCAAATATATGACCATAGTATCTATACAAATACGGAGTATGATAATTAACTGTCAAATAAGCTTTATTGGATGGTATGATATACATTTTTTATATTTTGAATGACTGAATTTGAGGTGAGAATGACAGTGATTAGGCATCAAGTGATATGTGTGAATAGTTAGGCTGTGAATTAGTTATTTGTATGGTATTTAGGTATTGTTATTGCTTTATCGCGATAATGGGTACTCTGTATTATTCAAAGTTATTTTCATGAAAACAAATACATTTGTCCAGGAACTCGTTTCTATCTCTAGAAATTGTTGTATGTCTTACACGTAATTACATTTTCAAATATATACATTACATGAATTGATTCTACCTCTATGGCTCCATCATAAGAACTTAAAAAGTTCTAATTCAACGAGGGAATCAAGCACATATTTATCATCCGTGCTTTATGATATGTAAAAGTAAAATAAAATGGTGAGAGATATGGGAAAATAATATATAATGAATACTACCCAACAACATTATTCTCAATACTATACTAGTTTAGCATTTATGAAAAGAGGGTGGAAAACTCAACTTTGAACTTTTCATATGTAAACAAGAGAGAAACCGAAGTGAAACATAATTACAAAGAATAGTAGCATTGCATTGTGATTAAGTGTATAGCGTATTGGGTTGCCAATAATGGGTTGTCGCTGCTTAAATTTTCTTCATGTACGTATCAATGATCAATCTATATTTGCTTGAGTTGGGCGTTGGGCACCGACAACCCATTCTTGGCAACCCAATAAGCTAGACACTTGATCAAAATGCAATGCTTCTATTCTTTGTAATTGTGTTTCACTTCGGTTTCTCTCTTCCATACTATGCTCTACTTTCCTCGATCATTTAATTTTCTTGTCTCCACTCAAACATAAAATGTGCTATGTATCTCGGTATGTGTATGTTTATGGTTCTAAGAGACACCACCATGGGCTCTTACATGTCTAGCAAGAAAACAATTGAGATCCATCCAGACAACGAGATCATGGAGGAGCTCAGAAAGAGAACAGAGGCTGATAAGAACGACATGGCGGTGAAGGATTTGGCATTGCTTCTCTTTGAGACTGCATGCGATGCTGACGTCGGGTTTTAGCTTGGAATATTCGAATACCTTTGCTGCACGAACTCCCATCTCACAGGATCGGATGTTGAAATTGGGTCTCGGCATTGACGAGGAGGAGGAGGAAGGTGTGGGTTGGAAGATGTTGGTAAGGAAAGCAAGATGGAGGAAGCAGATTAAGGAGGAATAAAGTGAGTACCCATCGTTTGTTTCATATATGGATGAGTTTTCCTTGGGTCCTTTTTCATATTCTATTTTTCCTTCTTTGTGTTCATTCTGTGATAAAATAAACTTGGCTAAAGGGTCAAATAGGTACATGAACTAACTTAAAGTGTTCAATTAGCCCCTTATATAGGAGGTTCTGCCCGGCCGTCGCCAATTGGGGCGGTTCCCAGTGGAATTTTTTGATAAAATTTTTTGAGCATCTTTTTTATTAAGTCTAGTTTACCCATACCAAATTTCAGCTAAAAATTCAACCGGGAAGGCAGTCAAATGATTTTTTGAAGATAACTGTGCAGTTAAACAACGCAGTACATTTTGGAAAATCATTTGACTGCCTTCCCGTTTTAATTTTGAGCTGAAATTTGATATGGATAAACTAGACTTAATGAAGAAGATGCTCAAAAAAATTCATCAAAAAATTCAACCGGGAACCACTCTAATTGGCGACGGCCGGGCAGAACCTCCTATATAAGGGGCTAATTGAACACTTTAAGTTAGTTCATGTACCTATTTGACCCTTTAGCCAATAAACTTTGTTGTAAGGGTGGGTTCGGTTCTTGCGGTTCGGTTTTGACCTAAAACCAAATATAGAATCAAAGTAAAAAGTTCGGTTCGGTTTCGGTTCGGTTTTACACTTCAAAACTTGGAACCACGGTTTGATTGGTTCGGTTTGTTTCGATTCGGTTTCGTGTTTTTTTTTTTACCAAAAAAAATATCATTTGATTTGAAATTGATATAATACTTTGAGAGATCAAACATATATTACATAAAGAATGCAAGCACACTACAACAAATAAAATATAAATGAAAATAAATAAATATGTCATGAATTATATGAGTATGCGAGAGAGATAAAAGTATATACGAAGTATATTATTAATTTACATTGTTTGTGACTAGTTCAAAAAAAGTTCATGAGTATATACATTCTATGTGATATAGTTGAGATGAATATTTATTGTTTCATTAATATGAATTCTTTAAGTTAAATAAAAATAAAGGTTAATTAATACTAATAACTAGTAAAAACATATTATCAGTATAGCTACATTATTACGGGCACTGAATGTGTAAATGAATTCATAAATGAAACTAAACATAACACATACATTATTTCTCTAGCATAAGAGAACCAAAGACTATTAATGATATTAGGATTAGTTAGGATTAATGCTTAACAATTGACAAATAAATTTATATTTTAATTAGTTCGGTTTGTTCGGTTCGGTTTTGAAGGGTAAAAACCAAAATCGAACCAAACATCTACGGTTCGGTTCGGTTTTTTACATTCGGTTTCGATTTGTTAGCGATTCGGTTTTATTCGGTTACGGTTCGGTATGATTTGATTCGGTTTTCGGTTTTCGATTTTTCGGACCCAGCCCTACTTTGTTGGGCTGTCCTTGGTTAAAAGGCCAAAATTACATCTTGATCGATGTGTTCTCACAAAGTTCAATATAGTGGTGCTTTGATCACAATTTTAGATCTTGAACGCGCGTCTCAACTCATCATTGTATATATCACTAAATAAGCTCAACGGGCCGGGTACCTAGTCAATCACTCAATCCCCACTTCAATAGAATTAGTTAAAACTGATCGTTATAAAAATGGTCGTGAACCGTTTAAATTCAGACTTGATTGATGAGAAGTAATTTTGATTTGAGCTAAAAAGAAATGATTAGATAATTTAAATGTCACTACAATACGTGATCAAAAATGAATTATTAAATAGTTTAAAGTGTTCGCTAATCACTACGTACAGGGCTAGTCCTGTTCATATGTACATGGCCGGTCCCATTTATTGGGGATAAGTTATTTTGGGCTTATATCCAAGACAAATAATAAACTATATACTTATTTGAAATACGAATTATAATAAAAGTATCCAATGAAATTCATAAAATAAAGGTGAGAGACACTTTAATATTATGTAAGTTACATATTTGAAAAAAGTAACAACGGAGAGTATTGAATAAAAAGAAAAAAGCATTACTCAAAAATGTTTCTCATAGAACAATTTGTAGCAAATCATCAATAATCGCTTCATAGGAAACCTTCTTTCCACTAATAAACATGACAAACAATAAAATTGTCACATATAACAACACTAAACTTTATTTCAGTTAGGGATGAAATGATTAATGAAAAGATATATTACTACATATCGAGTTCATAAGTTGAGAATGATTTATTGACCGCTGATGATTGTCTAAAGTTTGAATCCTTGAAAGAATGAAGGTTTTCAAAGAGACAAAATGTGTGGCCGCCAAGAAGACTCGTGCAAGAAGACCGCCAATTTGATGTCTTCTAAAACAAATATTAGGAACTCATATATAGTTTATTGAAATTTGGAAACACATAAATAATTGGGATGAGATTTGAGAGCCACATGTTCTAAAATAATTATATAAATTTGTCATGTTATAATATTACAATGATAAAAAACTTTAAAGACTAAAGAGATGTGAAGACTGAAAAGGCGTACCTTTTATTGATCCAACAACAATTGTATTGCTTTTAAAAACTACAAAAGACTTACTTAAAGTTATTGTATATATGTTTTTTTTAACTTGGGTTTGTTTAAGACTTGCTATTTATGTTTTAAATTTTCAAATTGTCAACAAAATTAAACTATAGGCCTAGTTAATTGAACGTAAGAATAAAAAAGAAGTCTACTCACACCATATATAAAGAAGACAAATTGGGACCATTTTTTCTTCCCGGGCCTAGGGCGGTCGCCCTGTTGACCCCCCCCCCCCCCCCCCAGAACTGGCCCTGACTGTGTAGCGTACTAACTACCCTTCGTCTCGCTAATATTGTCCTTTTTGGGGAAATCCCAATAAAATTGTCACATACTTCGTGTCGTATTTGGTAAAGTTTGTGTGACTCTAAATCGGTTTTATTGTATTCATACTTTATCAATTCAATATCAATTACATGAAGTCGTTTTTCTTAATAACCGTACACTCCATCTTGTTCCAATGTTAGTGGGACGTAGGTAGTATATATTTTCCACTAACTTTCATACATCACAAGTGTTACAAAAACAATTCAAATATTGTCGAAAAAGGTACTCGCCAATTACTCATATGGTCATATTGTAGTATTGTCCTCATAAAAAATAACTAATGCAATTACACACAATAAAATAATTTCTAACAATATAAAATCAGTGAAACTATTTGTTGGGATATTAGGGCCCGGCCCAAATACAGGCCCAAAATATCCCCAAGATCCACATAAGTATCCCAGCAGATAGTCCAGTACGGGTGCGGTCGCGCAGCCTATGCCGCACGGGCATTGCCGAACGGCTACACCACCATACTTGAATCATTTACTCCACCACAAGAAGCCAGCCGTGGAGGATGAGCCCAAGAACATTGACGGGAAATCTCACAGCCCGGGAAGCACATTTAATGCAACAGATATGGAGGATTTTATGGTTGCGGGATCATCCACTTAGAGTTGGCCATGTCACCCCCCTCAACTAGTCCTTCATAGTATAAATATCAACATTTATTTCATTGTAAAGAGTTAGTAAATTGGTACTCACAAGCAAT